TTTTGGGTGCCGGACCCCCTTACTTGGCTTCGATTATTTTCAGGATTTTTTAGGAAAGGGACACTTTCATATCTGTAAAGGGGGAATCCAGGATTGACACAGCAGCAGCTAAGAACATTAAATGGGTGCTAAAACGTAGGTGCAAGGCATCAAAAATAGTCTAACAAAATTCCACTGTTAAACGTTAATAATTTCCTTTATATAATGGTAGATTCTGGAGGCAGCCATTTTCCCATCTTCCTCTCTACTATGACATACAAATGTAGAGAATGATACACTCATGTGATTAGCTTAATAGGACACACCTCTCTGCTTAAGTGCTTTACTATGTGATGCAGAATACTATGACTAGTGGCAGTCCAAATCTGTGAAAAAATATGCTAAAATCTGCAAAATTTTAAATAGATAATTGTTCAAAGAAATTTGGAAATGGTGTGCAATTCTGTGGAGCAATTTTCATGTTTAATATTTGCAATAATAACTGGTTATTATAAAAATATAAATCAAGCAGACATAACTATGTTTCAGCAATTTCTTGGTGAAATACTTTCAATTTAACATGATAAGCATTGTGTCACAAAAATGTAATTAAACCATACATTATAATTAATTCTGTAAAAATAATAGAAATTAGAGTACAGTAATTAGATTTACAAATTATTAAAAGTATGTGTTATTGTATGGCTGTTGTTTATCTTACAAAAAGAATCTAGCCATTATAAATTATATGGGTGATTTACTACCTTTAATACTTAGCTCATTCTTTCTCAACCAGTCACATGCACAACCCCCTTGTTACATAAAAATATAGGGTAACTGATCTCACCTGCTTACCTTGTAAAAAACTATCTCTCTACTTTTCTTTTTCCATTGTATCTGCCTCCACATATAGAGAGTTTTCATTCTCACCATGCATTTATCTCCCTTATTTAACTTTGTATTTTCATTTGCTCTTGTAGTCTTTTGACACATACATGTACCTCAAATGGAAAAAAGTGGATCTCTGTACCAGTAGACTCGTCTGTTTATCAGTTTTGCTATAAGTACATAGTCTGGTGTAAATGCATGTAGTGTCAGAGGCCATAATTAGGGTTCTTTATTTTTCTTGTTACCAACATGCCTTAGATGTTTACATATTGTTTCATGAGAGGCATGCAATTTCATGGCCATTTCACGAGTGTGTTGCCTTGGGTTAGACTCA